ACGCAAAACAGAATTACCATGCTCGTAAGTTACGTTTTATCTTATAACGTACTATTTTAGACAGGAAATAAGATGATAATTGGAAGTCAGTTTTAAAACCTTGCTTAGTTCCACAATAGTTACTTTTTCAAATGTTGCAGATGCAGATTGAGATGTTTCGAGAAGTTATGTGAATAGGACGAAGTTGAAATTTTATGCAGAGGGGTAAACTTTGCAAACAAAAATGAGCAAGACCTTTTTTGTCAGTCCTTAATTGAAGTAGGGCCCGTACGAAAGAGAAGGTCAAGATTAAAACAAAACACTTCCGAAGATGAAGCTGAAGATGTTTTTTTAAGCTCAAACATTTTGTTCTATGCCCAAAAGTTCTTTTAAATTCTATGCCTTGCTTCGTGAGAAAAGGATCAACATCTGCAAAAAGGCTTTTTTAAGTCTGCACGGTATTGGTAAAAAAAGAGTAAGAAGACTGCAAGATCATTTTGTAAAAGGTAAATCTCCTAGAGATTTAAGAAGCCAATAGAATAATCGAAGGACCCTTCCACATGATAATACGGATCTTGTAAAAGAATACATTCAGTCATTTCCACTGAAAACAAGTCACTATTCTTCTAATGAAATAGAATATCTAGATGCTAAGCTGGACATAAAAAAAAATGTTCAATTTGTTCCAAGAGAAATATAACGACTTAAACGTGAAGTATAGCAAAAAGTTTTATTCATCCCTTCGACAGATGAAAGAATCGATGTTTGATTGTATGGCAAACATATCGCTTCTCACAATTCCAGTGCAGGAAACATACTACCTTAGACAACTGTCCGTCTATCCGTTTGGCATACACTACAGTAATAATGACACTGCAACATTTTATTTATACCACCAGGGAGTTGCTGGAAAGGGAAGTAATGAAGTTTACTCTTTCTTGAAGAAGTATATTGACGAGAATGTTCCAGCTAATGTAGATGAATTGTACTTATCAATGACAACTGTATAGGACAAAATCATACGATGATTAGGATTTTAATGTAACTTACAGATAGTGGAAGATTCAAAAAAGTTGTCTATAGACTTCCAATAAGGGATCACTCGTATTTACCATGTGACAGGGTCTTCGGCCTTGTAAAACGAAACCTAAGGAAACATGATAAATTCTACACTTTGAAAGATAAAACAGAAATAGTACTTTTAGCTACAAAACAGAGAAAATTTACTGTGGATTTAGTGGAAAATTCAAATGTTTTGGACTTTCAAAGTTAATGGCCCAAATTTTACAAAAAAATAATGTTTTAGAAGAAAGTAAAATTGAGAAAAACAAAAAAAGAAAATGTTTACTATTTCTTCCTACCATGAATTTACTTGCGAAAGATTTAAAAAAGGAGTGGTTGTTGTATCTGATTTCATAGGCGGATTTATTAGCAACACCTTAAAATTATTATCTAATCCACTGTGAGCTGAGTTGCTGAGTGACATTGCTGAGCCATCCTCCCCTTCCTCATTAGCAAGAAAAACTCATGAATTAAAAGTACTAATTCATTAAGAAAAAATTAATGACCTGAAGAAACTTTTGCAGCTTGCCCAATGGCCTAGAGTTGCAACGAAAAAATGAGCCAAAATGTATAAAATGGCAATTAGTTGTAGCTAATTGTATTGTCTTAGAATTGTTTTAATAAAGTAACATTAATTATAAATAAACACGGTGTAAATTCATCCACCAATTAAAACTTCTCCCGTAAAACAACACTTTTGTTTATGAAAGGGCTTTTGTCAGCTATTTTCAATACTAAAAAAAAATATTAATATTGATTTTAAAAAGTGTAACTAACATGATTTATTTTTGAGTTTTAAGGTTGTTAAAATGTTTCGAAAAATCAGAAAAGTATAAAATCGTTTTTTTATAGAACTAAACAGTTTTTTCTTGTTTTCCAAAATTTACATTTTGTGACAAGCGACCTTTCATAAATAAGCGATTCACATATAATGTCTTGTATTCCCCAATTTGTTTTCTTTTCTACTGTATTTATTGTTGCTCAACTAGTGCTCATTGTATGTATTTTTTTTATATTTCTTATAAGTCCTGATAATTATTTCAATTATCTTAAAAACCGTTCTAATTGTATGTTTCTTATTTGATCTAGACTAGATGTTTTCTTTTTTTCTTTCTTGTGATGTTGTTAACATTTAATAAAATGGATATATTAACTCAAGCATAGGCATATGAGAGACGGTGATAATTGAATTAAAATTCTTCCTGTGTGTGCGGTAAGCAAAAGTTAAAGTATTTCCATGTAATCATCAATCACGTTCTCAAAGCTGAAATGTAAAGCAAAGTATACCAACTTCTAACACTGTGAATTTTAGTTTTAGTTTGAGCTCATAAAATGCTGAAAACTTTTTCGAGTAAACACTTGATGCTGAACAGTGCAAATAATGAACTGTGCCGTGATTTAACAGTTGTGTTAATGATACAGCCAGCAGATTAGGATAAATAATTCCCGAAAAGTACAAGTATTGGGGTGTCTCAACAATCACAATCAATTGGTATTAAAACATTTTTTTAATTTTCCATTTATTTACGATATACATATAATATAAATTACACTAAATAAATAGTTTATTTATATACAGGTAACTGGCAAGTAAGCATACGATCATAATTTTCTGTTGTTTTAAAATTTTTACAAAAATTATTTGTAAGCTTGAGATGTAACAAAAATAGAAAAAAACTTTTAACTAAAACAAAAAATAAACATAAATAAATAACTAATTAAATCAATTTAAAAATCTGGTTGGAAGGTCACTGGTAATGTATCGGTGCACTTTTCGGTCTGGTTATGGCCTATGAGATTCTATGCTATTATAATAGGGCGATTTTCTAGTCGTGTGCCATACTTTGTGGGTACAGTCACAGCCCCCTTTACTTCCAAGCCATGAAGTAGAAATTTGGCAACAACGCGTGGTAGTCCGACTGTGGTTTGTTTTGGGTTAACATTTCATATAGGAAGGCTTGTAAAGTTTGTTGAATTTATTGTTTTTTTAACTTTATTCGAATGTTTTATTTGTAAATTGTGTTTAAATCAATTAGAAAATATTAATATAAGTAAAATTTCATTAAATTTAGAACTTTTAGAAGATTCTTAACCACAATTTAAAAGGCAAGTATAAATATAACCTACAAAACAAACTGAAAATAATAATACTTTTGCTTCTTGTTACAAAATATGTAAACTAAAAACAACAATAATAATACTTTTGTTTTTTGTTACAGATGCTCTGGCATTGTTGTGTACCTGGTTGCAAAACCAATTATGCCAGTACTTTAAAAACGAAACAGGCAGAAAGTATGTTTTTGTTTCCAAAAGATCCCCAAAGAAGGTATACTGGCTTATGCTCTATTCATAGAGAAGGCTGTACAATTACCAAATCTTCCGTAGTATGTGCCAAACATTTTCATGAACATTGAAAAGTTAATATTTCCCAAATTAAAAGGCAATGCAGTTCCTAATATATTTCCCGAAGTACCATCATATGTAACTGTTCATCGTACTAAAGAAAGAAGGAATCCCGAAGATAGAAGAAACTTTTTGCATAAGAAGAGGGAACAAGAGATAACATAATTATGTCAATTAGACTTAGACAATAATATCCCATTGAAAAATTGGACAAGTAAAATTACAAGTGACTGTGTATATTTCTATGTATTAAACATTAATCAGTTGGAACACAAGTGTGATAATATTTGTGTAATATGTAGTGTAATAGTTAGCAGTAATTTTAGTGTAATCGTTAATGTAGGTAAGAATAGATTAAGTGGTAATGATTTGAAATGTATTTTACAATATATTAAATTAACAAGATGGTCACAATTAGAGAACTTACTTTCTCATTTAGATCTGCTTTTTAGATAAGTGATAACAAATTTGAGTATTACATTCAAAAATTCTTTTGAGAATATAGGCTATTTTAAATCGATATACAAGTTATAAATGGTATGTTACATTCAACACATTTTTCATGTATACCTCTTTTAACTTGGTCTATATGACAACAAACCTATTCATATTTAAAATTGCTACTTTTGTATATCTAAGTATGAAAATTCAACAAAAGTTAGAAGTAAATAGTAAAATATTTAATTTTCAATTAGATTAATTTAGAACCATATTTATATTGTGTCTGATTTCTTAGGACGAATTTTTTAATCATAACAGTTACACTAAGTTTTTACTTAGCACAAATCTTATATCTTTTGTATTTTTAATAATCTTTTTAAATGTCGTGTTAATATATTGTGTTATTTATATGCTTAGGTACTTAATATTTAAAATTTCTAGAGATTCTTGACTGCATTTGATTGTAAGATTAACTGTTTGACACTGTATTTTAAGTGCAATAAATTTTACTCTACTGATTATTTTATTGATAATATAACCTAAATAATAATAAAACTTTATATATATTTACTAGGTATATATATTGTTTTATTAATTTAATTTCCCTAAAAATATTTCTGTAATGAATTGAAGTTTTCAAAATATCAGTTTCCTAAAATTCAAATTAGTTTAATATTCTGGTAGACCTTACAGCTGATTATCGGACTACCGACGTCATAGAATGCGGTGTTGCCTTTTTTACTTCATGGCTTGGAAGTAAAGGTGGCTGTGGTACAGTTCACCAAAAATAGCGGAAAGTCTGAAATTCTAACTGCCTGCGCAAACAATGAAGTGAGAACGCACTCGGAAGTAAAAAGATAGCCTATACGCGCGGGTGAACTTTAAAATATAAGTACAATAGGACATACAAATATGGAAACGTAAAGTTTAAATAGTTTCTAATAGGTTCTGTACACAATTATTATTACTGTCATTATTTTTCTTCAGTATATTTCAGTATATTTGTGGTATTTGTTCTACAAAGTGAGATAGATTGTAAAAAAAGAGATACAACAAAACCAAAATTATATTATTATAAACCAAAAAATATATTTTTATACTGACCATTTATACTTTATATTACCATTAAATTGACCAAAAGGTTTCGGAGAAAAAGAGCGTAAGCAGTAGGGTAATAAAGCAGTAATAAAATCGTCTAATGCAATACTAATAGAAATTAGATGTTCGGATCCGGTGAAGCATAAATATGATGTCTTTCTACCTTTTGTTAAAAGCGGCCTTTATCTTTGAATATTTACCCAAAGTATGGAAAAAGTGTAAACTCTTTAAAATAATGAGATATTTAGTATTATATAATTAAGTCATCAAATTACATTTTTTACAAGATCAGACCTTAGTCTGCAGCTTAGACTCCGAATGATTAGATATTACGTTTTTTCTGTCTTACTGTATGGCTGTAAAAGTTGGACAATGGACTCTGAAATAGAAACAAGAATAAATGCAGTGAAAAGACAGCAAATATTTGATTTCACGCGAACAGCGCCTTTGTATCTGTTGATACGTATTTCGACCTAATAGGTCTCATCAGAACAGTTATTCAAAGGTGTTCTCAAATCTCTCATTCAAAGGTGTTGAACACCTTTGAACAACTGTTCTGATGAGACCTATTAGGTCGAAATAAGTATCAACAGATACAAAGGCGCTGTTTGCGTGAAATCAAATATTTGCTGTCTTTTCACTTTATTCGGATCTACTCTGTACGAGTACTAGAAACCAATTCGCTAAGGATTTCTGCTTAGTTGAAAAGACGTGTCGTGGAATGCAAATTTTAGATTCCCCACGTCTCTTTTAACACCTTTATCAACGTCTGTTTTGCTTTGCAATTTTTAGAAAGCACAGATTTAAGCGGAAATCTGAATTGTGTTTCGAAACTATTTTACGGTTTTAAGAATAAATGCCTTTGAGATGTATATATACAGACGAATGTTAAGAATTCCATGGGTACAAAGAGTTACTAATGTTGAGGTACTTCGTCGAATGTGTAAACAAAAAGAATTACTAAGAATAATCAAAGAGAGAAAAACTCAATACTTGGGTCATGTGTTGGGAGGCGAAAGATATCTATTACTTCAAGTTATACTGGAAGGAAAAGTACAGGGCAAAAGATCAGTAGGAAGACGCCAGAACTCATGGATGAAAGACCTGAGGAGATGGTTCGACCGCTCTTTGGATCTTTCGCGCAGCAGTTTCCAAAACTACTATTGCCCTTTGGATCGCCAACCTTCGAAAGGAGATGGCGCTATGAGAAGACGAAGAATTAAGTCATAAAAAATATTAAAAATTAGAATGCAAAATATTTTGTAATGTGATAATTAATGACCGTGTAGGGGCCCTATAAATGATTAAGGCGGGAAATTAAAAATCCTTTCGTTTCGATTGCTACAATCGTCCGCGAAGAACTAAATAAAAATAACATTATTTCTAAAAAAATATTTAAAGTTAAAAAAAAAACCTAACAGTTTCTGAAGAAATGCAACATGAGTGTCTCAGGTTCATATTTCTGAATCATCTGACTAAGAATCAGAGTGCATCTCGTCATTTTCAGAATCACTGTCACTATCGACACCTATATTTATGATTATTTGATCCACCACGGTGTCAAAAGCTGGCTGTTGTGCCATATAACGTTGTTCCATTTTTTAACATGTTCACACCTATTTTTCCATTGTTCGACTGAAAACGAATTAAAAAATTCATCACACAAACTTTCCACTAATTTAAAATCAAAACTGAGATTTTTTCAGCGACATATTGCTTCATAGAAGCCCGCACTAACTCTATAGGATTAAAATCCGGATGATACGGGGGTAACCGTAAATCTGAATGTCCTTTATACTCGAGTATTTTGTCAATTTCATACGTCATAATGCGAGGTTTGTGTAATTTTATAATGTCGTATAGTTCAAATTTCAAAATGTCATCTGTAAACGAAATATTTCGAGTTGTCAGCCACTGCTGCGTTTCTGCTTTTCTGAAAGACATAATTGGACATTTCTCAGTTTGTACGTTGGGATACGGTGCATTATCAATCACTAAAACGCTGTTCGGGGGCAAATTTGGTATCAGCTTATCCTGAAGCCACTTTTTGTAATTGTCGTAGTTCGTTGCATCAAGAAAATCTCCTATTTTTATAGTAGGTTTGTAGCGCAGATAAGCGTTTTTAACAAAACCACTTTCATCTTCAGCGTGCACTGTCACAAGCATCTGTCCTTTAGATATTGGTTTTTGCAGGCCCTTTCTCCTCTGTATTGTTTCTCTGTATTGTTTCTCTTTTCGACGTTGGCTGAAAGTTAAGACTGTACTTCTCTTACCAAAAGCAGAATTGCCCCCCCCGTATCCGATGGGGCTATATTGTTATTTTTCATCCTGCTTCTTGTACTTTCGCCCTTTGTTGTTTTTGCATGTCCAGGATGCTAAAGCCTTGTGCCAAAACCACCACTTTGGAGGACCTGCACTTTCAGCCGCCCATTCTGGGTCCGACGCTGTTTGCAGTCGCCCCCTCTGGATCAGACGCTGCTTGATTCTATACAAACCCTAAAATCCGGGGTCGCCACTTCTGCCATCCTCGCCGTACCGAAGGTCTCCCTCTCCGCCGTGACTTCCGTTGTGGTCTTCATCCGTAACCCTGGAGAAGGGACCCTAAGCAGGTAATAGTTTCCCGGGTCAGGAAACAACTGGAATCTGTGGGGGGCAGGGAATGATTCATTTTTCCCTGATAGGACTATCCAAGGAATTCCAAGGCGTATAATGGTTCTGGTTGCTCCGGTATCCACCAACAACGTATGCTTTTTACTATTTATTTCTCCATCTACGTATTAACTATCTTCACGACATTTCAAAGAAGCTATTAATATTTGGAAAAGTTCTGGGTCGAAGCTGCCCCCCTAAGGCCAACCCGTTTTCCTGATGGCGAGTTTCTTGATTTGCGTCGTACCTAGGGTGCTTACATGAACTTCATACTACTACTATCGGTTTACAACGTTCTCCGATGCCTTCCGACTCCTAACCGCCATTCTTCTCTATTCAACCATAGGCCTGGAGGGATTTCTCTTTCCTCTAGTTCTTTCTCAATTTCCTCTCCCAAGCTTCCTCTTGGTCTTCCTCTTTTCCTTCTCCCTTGTGGTGTCCACGTCAAAATCTGTTTTGGAATCCTGTCATCTGGCATTCTCTGTACATGGCCGTACCATATTAACTGTTTTGTTTTTATGCCATTAACTATTATATGCTTGACTCCCATCATTTCTCGTATTCTCTCATTTGGTACCCGATCTCCTCTTGATTTGCCTGCTGCTCTTCTCCAGAAGTCTATTTGTGTTGCTAGTAACAGTTTCTCTGTTCTTTGTTTCATTGATCAAACTTCATTGCCATATGTGATTACACTTTTAAGTATGGTGTTGTATATGAGTTGTTTGTTCGCTTTAGATATTGTTTGGTCCCACAGAATCCCGTTCATCATGGATATGGCTTTTCTACCCTGTATGTTTCTGTCTTTTATAGCAGCATCGAGTGTTCCATCTTGAGTTATACGTGTATGAACTTCATACGTGTCCTATTTCGCCACAATTCCAGCATCTTATGGTCTTCTTTTTCTTGTATGTCATACTTTTCATCATATTAACGAGCTGGTCAAGTTCATCTTCATCTCCTTCCTCTTTTACAGTCCTAACTTTGACGAGCTAATCGCAGTGTTCTCTGCATTTCATGATCACGAAAACCATCAATAAACGTTTGAACGGCCAACTTTTCCATCATATCTTCGGGAGCTGTTAATAAGCATATCGTACTAATCTGGCAATATCTACTTCATATTCTTGAAGAGCCTCATCTTTCTTTTGTCTTCGATTTTTAAGCTACGACTGATATACATGCTCCAAGTGTTCGTGGCCATATCGCATATTTAACCTCTTCTTAAGTTGTTTGAAATCATCCGTCTCCTCTACGGCTATGGTCTGGAGCACATCTAAGGCATCTCATCGAAGAGCGATATTCAGGTTTACAGTATTTTCTTTTTCAGACCATCCATTCGCTCTTGCAGCTGATTCGAACTGTTTTATGTAGTTGTTCCATAACGAATTTCCGTCGAAAGTTAGGACTCTGACATGAACAGAACCTCCACTTCCTTCAAATTTCGGCCGTGTTTCCAACTTACATTTCGTCTCGTCTTCTTTTGTCTCTACTGTAATTGGATTGTTTACTCTCTCTGCTGTCCCTGTTTCCTCAATCTTCCTTTTCATTACCTTCATCTTTGCTTCGAAGGCCAACATATCGGCAGCAACTTGGTTTTTTAACGAAGATACTCTATCGTCGAGAGCAGACATCAGACCATAAACTTTGGTTACATCAGAAGAAACTTTCGAAATATCGTTCGAAACTTTGTTCTCTAATTTCGAAATCGACGAGATGACAGCAACATGTTTATCTTCAAATATATAAGTTTCCGGATCCAAACCCTCTTCTTTTAAAGCGTTCTTTAGTCGTTGGACTAAATCAGCCTTTTTTCCGGTAGAAGCTAATTCTCTGTCCTCGAGATGTCTTCTTAAATCCGCAACTCTAAGCTTATAAATCGTAGTCATTTTCACAATTTTACTTCTGACACCACTGAACTACTTCTATAAGTCTAATTTATTTACTTTAGTTCCCTTATTCTAATTAGAAACACAAGATGTCAACGAAAAAAACACAGATGTTAACACAATCACAGAAGAAGATTTTCAAGTTCAATTATAATCTTGTTTTTTTATGCTATAAAGAACTATTATTCTTTATTAGTATCGAATTGTCTTTGATAAAGGTTTTCTGTGATAAAAATAGAAATAAAATGTCATAATTATTTAGAAAATATCTATTAAAGACGGGGTAACGGTTTTTGCTACGTTTTGAAACAGATTTGCTTGCTCCTTGTTTAACAAAGCGAAAATAACCTTTTGATCTTCCGTATAACTTTACCTTAATAATTACAAATCCCGCCTTTATTTTAATACCAACCTTACAGGTAATTAATTATATTTCTTATCACAAGGGTGACAAAACTCTTTGTGTAATTATTATACACTGCTTCTCGTATAAATACCTTTGAAATATTACCTTATATCATCAAAATCACTGCCTAAACATTTTTTCTTTTTACAAGTCGTGGCACAAATATTAATGAAAAATCTTTAATGAAGGAAGATACTAAGAAAGGGACATTTTAAAATTCAATATAATAATGTATTCTAAAGTGGAACGAAAATATTAATTTTTTTGTAAAATAATATGTTTGTATGTGGTAGTGGCGATTCATATTTGAATTTGGCGGCGCAAAAATTTTAGAAAAGTATTTTCTGAATATAAAACATACTGAATGATGATCACGTCTGGGTCAAGCCAAAATTACTAGCCAAATGAGTTATAAAACCAGGAGGTAATATCGAATAAAGCTGTCATGATGTCAAAAAGTCAAGGCATGATTGATGATTATTTTGTCATCATTATCATAATTGGCTCGACAATCTTTTGTGGATTTTGTCGTACTCACAAAGAAGTCGTCACTCCTGTCGATTCCTAGAAACTTCCCTCCATCTCCTGATCTTTAGAATCTTAAGTTCTTTTTTCACATCATGAATCTATCTCCCACGTGGTCGTCCTCCACTTATGCCCTCTGGGTTTGAGAATGTTAATCTTTTCGTGTACTTATTAGTTATTTTTTTTGCATCAATTAAAAATTTGCACACCCAATTGTGAGTTATGGTTAATAAATAATCAGCCTAGAAATCTTGCTTCGCCCAAATAACTTAAATTTAAGGACGTTTTTCCTGGAAAATATTTCCAATTTGTGTCAGGGAGTGGTAGGAGACTCAAATTAAATCGAAACGCAACATTCTTCGTATATTTATCGTCCCTACTAGTACAAAAATTGATGGTAATTTATATGGGTAAATTGTTGGTACACAGTGGAATATTTTTATTCTCAGTACCGCTCTGAATGGCTTGTTTAAGCTTGGGTACACAGTTTACTTTAATTGCTATCGACGTATCTTCATCTTACCTCACTAGAGGTCTCTAGTTGCATACTCTGGTAGTTATTTTCATGTAATTGCCAGAGTAATCGGTGCGTTTTGATTTGGTTTGAGTCTTCTTACAAACTCCTTCTGATGACGGGTAGACCCAGAAACACGTGTCAGGGAGTGGTAGGAGACTCAAATTAAATCGAAACGCAACATTCTTCGTATATTTCCAATTTGGTCTTAAAAAATACTCTGCTCCATATGATTTAAATTTCAAACGTGTTTTTATCTTCCCGCAAACAACAATGTTAAAGAAATTTTTGTACATTTTGACGAAATCCCACTGAAAAAGAGTTACTGGAATACCTAGGCCACGTGATGAGGGGACCAAAATATGAAATTCTGAGACTGATAATACAGGGAAAGTTTCAAGGAAGAAGATCTGTTGGCCGAAGGCAGAACTCATGGTTGGTTGAAGAATCTACGTGATTGGTATCAATGCAGATCGATTGATTTATTTAGAGCAGCAAGTTCAAAAATAAAAATAGCCTTTAGAAGAAGAAGGAATTTACCATGTTTATGAGAAACCAAAAGATGCAAATGAATGTTTGATTGATTTTGTAACAGAAGCTGTTTTTTATTAGATAGTTTAAGCTAAAATAATTAAGCATGAATGATCAAGTTTGTGGGATAGTTAGATTATTGGTACATGTTGATTTATATTTTAGGATAATGAGCTTTCCAAAATTGGTTAGGAGACCATAAACGAATTTGTTAGGAGAAGCCTTAAAAAGCTGATCTTTAATAAAATTCAAGGAAAATATATAGTTAGCTAGGGAAACAGCAATAAAAAGCTTTTGAAAACTTGTAAACATAAATCAATGTACATTTAAGAATTTTCACTATCACTTAAGTGGCCACATACAGCTGATGAAGCATATCGTTAACTGTGTCATATGTAATTTAGATGGCAAAATTTACCAACTCTACAAATGTTCAGGTCTGGCTATGAGATTGCTTTAAGAACTATAGCTAGAGATAAGAGATAAAGGTTTGTTGTTGGCCGTATATTTTATTTATATACTGTTATTGTTGTTTTTAAGTGTAATTACTGATCATTTGGTCATTAGAAATAAATACCAATAGTTCGGTTGGTATTCTTCTAATTCATGTGTTTAATTTTATGCTTTTGAATTTTCATTTATTCACAATAAACAAAGCATCATGAACTAAATCTGAAATTAGTTTGTTCAATTTATGAATGTACATTAATTTTGTTTTCAGATGCTGCTTGGAAACACTTCAAAACCAGCGCTGCCATGGGGAAGGAAATTGAAACTTGATAATGAAGTATCTGAAGAGATCTAAAGAGAGAGCTGCTGAAATAAAAATATAAATAAAATTTAATTTGCATGTTGCATTAGCAAATATGATTAATTTTGTAATGGTTAAATTGTGTGGTGGGTGGACAGAAACAGACAGAATTCATCAATCGCGATTTTCACATGAAAACTGTCAAAGAAGAAATTGCCAGTCACTCCCAAAAATATGACAGACGACTGCAAAACCACTCCAACAGGCTAGAGAAGAACCTTGTGAGGCCCCAAGCAAACAGAAGGCTAAAGCGTCTTACTCCAAGCGATCTACCAAAAAGATTTTAAATTTTTAAATTAATTTTTTTTTATTTATTATAAACATTATATTAGAGTCACAAATAATTTTGTTACTAAAATTATGATTTAATAGGTTATTGTCACTGGACAGTCTCCTGCAAGTCTCTTGTAATCTAATTAAACAATTTACTTATTGTAATCCTCATTACAGATTGTAAATAAATGGGATGTTCAAAAAAAACTTGTGCAATACAGAATGACAACTAGGTTATTGTTATGTCAAGATAGTCAACCCTGATTTACATAGTGTTTGGGGATCAGGATAGCCAACATTTCAATAGGTGTACCACGAAATGGTGAGTGGATAAGATATACATATGAGGTAGGTATATAATGATATAAAGGCACTAGAGATGGATATAATTGAGAAGGGAAAATCATAGGTAATTAGGTTATTTTAACTAAGTAATTATAAAAAAATAAAATTAGGTATACTAATGTTGAACTTTTACGCATTATTTTTATGGGCTTTTTGTATCATAATTTAACATTTGTTTTAAGATATGATTAAAAGGTAAAAAGTTAGAACAATAGAGTATAGAAAAAATGTTACTTACTTTACTCCCAAATATTAGACACAGAAGCAGAGTTACTGTCAGCTGGGTGTGACAGAAGAATATAATGTACATTAAATCAGGATTAGCGGGTTTCTGCAAGAACAACCTGTAACAGAAAACCATTTGTAAATTAAAAGTTCAGAAAAGATTTTACTTCTAACAAGTAAATTACAATTTTTGATTTATTTTGCCATGGGTATCTTAAAAACACAATTAGTTGACTAATACACATTTTGGATTCAATTATGTTGTTAATTGGTTGATAGTTAACAATTCTTTTAAGTTAATTATTTTTAACATAGACAAATTAGTTTTTTCCGATTTTCATATAATGCCGAAGTTTGGCTCAAACAATTGCTGATAGTATTATCTGTAACGTTTTTGTAATATGCGTGAATCATAGCTCTTAATTTCATAGCTATTTTTCGAGTATCCTTTTAAAAGCTGTGGATTTGAATGTGAATCCTCCGTATTGTCTTAATTGAAGAGTATCCTGGTCCGAATCAGTTAGAACAGATACAAAGTACATTGAAATGTGTGATACTTTCATCATTCTCATTATCTTTATCCCTGTGCGAGGTCGGCTTCCTTAATTATATTTTTACATAAATTTCTATCTTGGGTCACAGCTATATTAATTTTCTTAATAAACCTGTCCTGCCTTTCACCATGTCTTCTTTGATCTTCCTCTACTTTAGGAAACTTGCAACTCAGCAATTCTTTATATGATTACCATTTCGACTTTGAACATAACCTAACCTTCTTAGCCTCTGCTTTCACATTTTAGCATTAACTGGTGCTACCCATAGACTTTTTCTAATATATGCGTTCTTAGTTTTATCCTTTTTGTCACCTCAGTCATCCACAGGTAGACCAAAAACTGTTATAAATTACAAAACTTTAGATTCAATGCAGTTTTTCTTTGAAGATCTACATACATCCCTACGCAGAGCTGCACAAATATATTTTTGTGGGGGGTTTTGCAATCATTTGTCGTATTTTTGGGAGTAACTAACAATTTCTTCTTTGACAGTTTTCATTTGAATGTCGCAATTAATGTAATTATTGGGCAAGTACCACGGTACATTTGTGATAATGTTGGATTCCATAGTTCCATATTGGCTTTTTTATTGACTTGTATACTAGAATTTTATTGTACAAATTAAGTTGTAAATTTACCATGTTAATTTTCCCAACAAAGACAAAATGCATGGTTAAAACAGCAAATTTACTAAGATGTAAATTGGAGCTGGAAGGTCAGATAATAGCACAAGTGATGGAGTTTAAATATCTAGGCATCACATTATCTAGCTACGGAAAGCTCGAAACAGAAGTGGAAGATCAAGTGAATAGAGCAAACAGAGCCGCAGGCTGCCTAAATGACACAATATGGAGAAATAAAATATCGGGAAAAAACAAAAGGCAGAATTTACAAAACAGTCATCAGAACAATAATGACATACGCGGCAGAAACAAGAACTGGCACAGAGAGGACAAAAAGGATGTTAGAAACAGCAGAGATGAAAAATTGATGGTAAGACACTATGGGACAGAGCTAGAAGTACAGATATACGACATAGATGCAAGGTGGAGTAGCAAAGGTAGAATGGAACAATCATATATGCCGAATAACAACAAAAAGAGTAGTAAAGACGGCAAGAGACGATTCCCGAATAGGAAGACAATCAGTAGGAAGACCACGAAAACGATGGAATGACAAATTACTGGAGGCACATTGAAAAACATACAGAATCATATCTATATCAACAGAAGAAGAAGAAGAAGAAAGAAATTCAGTTATGACCTGTTTCCTATTAGCCAGTATATTTTATTAAGTTGCTGACCAAACTTTTCTTTCTAAATATGTGTTTATTCCACGTTAATCAGCGGTTTAAGTGGATACCTAGGTATTTTACATAGCTAATCCTTTTGTTGTAGTACTTGGTTATTTAATGTGACGGGTGAGCATGTACCTCAACCATCAGGAAGAAGCAGAACTAATCTGACTAGACAATGGCAAGTGTGACTTTGCCGAAACGTCGCCCAAACAATGGTTTTAACATGTTCCTCACTCTATAAAATATAATGTATTGCGGTTACCATAACTCCTAAATAAATTTTTAAATTTTCACTCTTTTTACAAACTCCACAAGGAAAATAAATTCCTGCAGCTGGCTGTATACCATGTATAACAAAAAGAGGTTTAAATGATTGTAAGTAGGTATATTTAAAAAACCCTTAAAAGGGCTACATCAAAGTAACAAACGTTTTCGGAATAATAATTCCATCATCAGGTTAAAAGGCTAAAATAAGTATGAACCATTTAATTAACGTGATTGAAATGTTGACTAAGGTTAAAAAAGCAAAATGGTTATACTTACAGGTTAAGATGCCTGAGCCACCAAAATATTAGGGTAAAAACCCTTCATAGTAAATAAAGTTACCAAAGATTGTACATATTGTTGTTAAAAATTAATGATGTTTAATATTATTATTAGATTTTACTTCAGGTATCATACACCCATGCCTTACATGAGGACCAGCGTCCGGAGGGTAGACCTCTTCAAACGGATTTCAGCTGGTAACTGATTGACAAGGACAAGATACCTATGAACGGCGTCGAAAACAAAATGTCAATGTACTATGGAACAGTGTTAGTTATACATAATATTACTGCAGCCAAACGATTCAAAAGCTTTAGTGACGTTAAAAATGATAACAGCAATCCAAGTGTTGGGATTTAAAAAGTTTTTTATTATTGAATTTTGGATCTGAAAGGTGTAAAATTACCGATGGAGTTAAAGGTCATGTTTAAGAGAATGACGTATGCATTAGGCAGCCTATGTTACTCTTTGTCGTATGGAGTGTGGTCTAGGAAGTGTAATTTGTGACTGATTAGTTTAGATATATGATATTGTAGTATAGATTGATAGATAGTTGTTAGTATAGATATGATATTGAATTGTATATATTTGTAGCAATATAAGACCTCGTTTTTAAATGAAATTGTTTATGACTGCTCGTATGGTAAAAGGTTTATATAAGTGGATCTAATAAATTGACTAAAGGTTAAACATCTTCCGACTGAAGAAATTAAAATTATAACCTATGGGATTAAATTTACCCTAATATTTTGGTGGCTCAGGCAAATTAGCCTGTAAGTATAACCATTTTGCTTTTTTAACATTAGTCAACATTTCAATCACGTTTGTTTTAACTAAATGGTTCATACTTATTTTAGGCTTTTAACCTGATGGTGGAATTATTATTCTGAAAACGTTTGTTACTTTGATGTAGCCCTTTTAAGGGTTTATTAAATTTACCTACTTACAAAGATTTAAACGTCTTTTTCACTCTTTTAGTGCTAAGTATTGAAATATTCACTTTGTTTACATCCAATAATTATTCTAATTAATTTACAGTTTTCTCTTGAAGAAGTCATAAAATCGTGACCGAAATATTGAGACATAAAACAAATAGAGTTTTATTTCCTACAGACCGATTAGTGATAATATAAAATCATATATATATATATATATATATATATATATATATATATATATATATATATATATATATATATATATATATATATATATATATATATAAATATAGTTGTTCATATAGCGATCAACTGCACTTCTTAATTAAAAATAAAATTTAAAGATTCTCTAAATTCAAGGACAAAGCGTAAGGATTTGCTGCTTAGGGTAATTACGCGATTTATATGGACGCTAATTTATTTTAGGGATGATTACTGGAGCGTGGAGGATTTAACATAGACGTTAGGCCTCTTTGTATTTTCTTTTTCGTTTTTTCATCATCATACTAAAATTTTAAGGAGAAAAATACGAACAACCAACCCATGTCTTCTAAGAAGCTAAGAGTTCGTTAATTAATAAACCTCTAAGTCTTATAATATTATACAAGTTAGCTGTTACGAGGGTTTTGCTGAAAATTTTTAGTAGGATGCCATATTTAACATTATAATGAAAACATGATTTTGATTTATAATTAAATTTGATTTTGAGGTTTTGTATGTACAGTTAATGTGTTCAAGTTATACAAGTTGACAGGACTAATACAAAACAGAAAGATATAGTTATTAGACCTACTTCTCCAAAAGAAATGGAAAATTTTGCCGCAATGGAAACAAACATAAATCCTAAGAATTCTTCTGCGTTTTATCGAAGAGATATTACAACTATTCCTCGAAAAGGTGTTAAATTCACATACACCTAAGCTTTCTTGCCGACTTCTCATCATCTTTTGACAACCCTACCTATCGAAGATATTCCTTGCTTGTAGATTTCGGTCATTCATCGCTTTTTTGATGTTCTCATTTCATATTCTACGTGGTATAAACCTATTATTATATTCTCTTTCTTCCTGATGGGCTCCAATAAAATTTTATAGGCCATTGCTCGTCAGTTATTCTTAATATAAGTCCAAACTACTTTAACGACCATTTTTCTATTTGATCCACCGCTGTTTGCTCTGACCTGGGTCCTGGGCCAACACCACTTGATCGTCTGCAAAACTGAGTACAAAAATCTTATTATTGTGATTAGCTATATTCCTCTATATCTAGGTTTCAAACTTTTAATATTTTTTCTTCTATTTCAACATATTAATTCGTAATGCCTTTAATTATAATATTTGTAATAGCATTTCACGTGCCAATTATCAGTGTCTGTTTCAAGCTTATCATCAACAAACTCATCCCTTTCTCAAAAACGCACCTCTTTAAATGGTAGCACTATGCGGTTTTTTTATATTTTGAGGTTCATTGACCATATGAATAAAACCCCTTTACGTTGTAGTTAAAGTAGTGATGAGCACAAGACAATCAAAATCAATGATTAACAATAATATAATTAATTTATTATAATTATAATAAAACCCCTTTAACGCTGTAGTTAAAGTAGTTATAATATACATAAATATACTTCGTATCAGGGCACAAGACAATCAAAATCAATGATTAACAATAATATAATTAGGCACATATTTGACGTAAAAATAAGCTTAAATTTTCTATAAATATAAAAACAATCAAATCTTAACCGAAAACGACGAAAAAACTGAGATGA